GACAAGTTCTGCACTTCCACGCATGCGCAGGACGCATACAGTGCCTGCGCGATCCTCCAGGAGCAGCTGGAGCATCGCACAGACGCTAGTACGTATGCGTGTACTGCGTGCGTGCACGAGGACTCCGCCGGCCCCATTCCAACCGAACCGGTTGGAACGGGGCGAGAAACCCACCCCTGATTTAACTGTATATATGATACACAGTATAGTAATCTATATAGTTAGCAACTATGTTAATGTGAGTGACGGAAACGCTGTAAAGATTGCCACTATATGTTGCTTTTTAATGTTGAAATATATCTAATAATGTTTTTTTTTAAAAAATGTAAAAAAGAATTTCACTTGGCTCAAATAATGCAGGAGGACACTCAAACTGCTTTTTGAAAGAACAAACATTGCAAGTTCTTTTGGTTTCCCAGCATGAATTAAAATCTTTAGCAAAACAGATTTTGGAATCAGCTAAACAGGGACAATAGGATGCCACTTGGCATTCTAAAAACCAGAGTTTGGGTTCCTGAAGGTTCAATCAAAGAAGTAAATTCCACTGCCAAAGGCCACTCTGTTATTGGACAAAAGTGACATCTTTTGCAAAGGGAAAATAGCAATGTCTTTGTATAGAAATGATGATCCAGCCCTCTCTTATTAGGATGATGCAGATCTTCACCATATAATTCAGGATTTACATAAATTGGTTAATATAACTCTGCAAAACCAGAGAGCTCCTGCCACTAATAATATCGGAAGAAAAGCAATTGAACAACTAGATTGATGTTTCTCAAAATTGGCTACTTTAAGATGATTGGGCTTCAAATGCTAGAATTCCTCAACAGCTAGCTGGGGAATTCAGGGATTTGAAGTCCATCTATTTTAATGTGATCCAGGTTGAACAAAAATGAATTAGACACTAAGCATGACCATTTGAATGTTTGGAAGTAAAATTAGGTGAAAAATAAGTGTATCAGATATGAGCATGATGTTATAACAAGATATTTTTCAGCTAGGCTTATAGTAAGCTAGAACAAATATTTTACAGTTGGTTTTCACTGATTCTCCTTAGACATCTAACCAGTGATTTTCATCGTAATGTGAAATTGACTCTATAATACAAATAAAGTGGTGTCTGAAGATATCTCTGTGGTCATGTGGCTAGCATGACTAAATGCCAAAGGCACACAGAACGCTGTAACCTTCCCACCAAAGGTGGTTCTTATTTTTCTACTTGCATTTTTACATGCTTCTGAACTACTAGTTTGGCAGAAACTGGGAAAAGTAATGGAAGCTTACTCCATTATGTGGCACTAGGGATTCGAACCACCAAACTGCTGACCTTTCTGATCGACAAGCTCAGCGTTTTACCCATTGAGCTACCCTGTCCCTACAGATGGGTTAGCAAAGATATTTAAGGATAATTCTGCAAAATGTTGGAAATGTCACCAGACGTATGTGGTGGACATGTTAAAAAGCGAAAAATATGTTAAAAAGCGAAAAAATATTGGACAACAATATATACATGACTGGAAAAAATGATAAAACAACATATAGACTTGAAACCAAAGACATTTTTGTTGGGCATTTTACCAGACAAGTATAACAATCTGATTTTACACTTATTAATGGCAGTGAGAATAGTATTTTCACAACAATGAAAAACTGTAGAGATCCCAAGAGAGGAAGATGTGATTAGAAAAATATTAGAATGCGCAGAAATGAACAAGCTAACACTTACAATTAAGGAAAAGAAAGAACCTGAATATTTGTTGACTTGGGACTTATTTTATCAATGGCTAGCTGACAAAAAACAAGAGCTGGAATCAGAAAAATATATGAAAGGATCAGTGATACAAAAAAAAGGGTAAAATTGGTTAAACAAATAGTATGATTATTACTGTTATTAATAGTATAGTTGATATTAATGCAATTAATATTGTTGTAAGCAATTTGATTATTACTTCTTAAAATAATTTGTACCCAGACAACACACTGTTCAATTGAAGTTGGAATTTTCATATGCTATAAAATAAAATAAAAAAACTTATTACAAAAAGATGGGGAGACCTTCTTGACTATTATCATGTATCCCCGAAAATAAGACAGGGTCTTATTTTCTTTTAACCCCTGAAATAAGCACTTGGCCTTATTTTTGAGGAGGTCTTATTATTTTTGAGGTGCAGGAGGCGGTGAGTGTGGTCACCTCATGGCTGCTGCTGTGTTGCAATATTTTGGGGGAGGGCTTATTTTAGTGCATGCGTTCAAAAGCCCGACTGGACTTATTATCTGGGGAGGTCTTATTTTTGGGAAAACAGGGTAGTTTTCTAGACTTCTTTTTTATAATCTTATTTTTAGCTCCATGATGTAACATATAGGGAAAAATGTGGGGGAAAATCATTGTACACAGTTATACCTAATAAACCACAATGTACAAACAATAACAAAATCTATCTTCTTAGCCCAGAAGGTAGGAACATCTTAACTGAGGTTCCAATTAAACAAGGAAGATCAATATTTTCAGAAAATGATCATAACTTGCTTTCATTAGGCTGCATCTCATCTTCCTTGATGTCTCCCTCATTTGTGAAAACCCTATGGAGCGCAAGTTTCATCGATACTCTGGATCGTTCCCCTTTATTTCCCCCAGCCAGGAAATAAAGGATTGGATTGATGCTGCTGTTTACTACAATACAGATGTCAGACAGATATGCAAGAATTAATATATGTTGAGACCAGGGGTGAAAAGAATACGTCATCTCTAAAAAAAAATCAAACAGAATTTTCTTTTCTATTGGCGAGTTCCCTTCCCCAAAGAAATCGAGTAACAATGTTAACTCATTCTCTTTTACTATACTGTAAGTAATAATGGAAAAAATGCTCCGAGGCAAACGAAATACAATGAAGCACATGAGCGCAAGCAAGGTTACCGTCAACACTTTTTTCCGCTTTTGCTGGCGTTGTTTAAAGAAAAATTTGACAAGCAAAATCAGAGAGGATATGACCATCGTTGGGTAACACACCAGACCATTGAAAATCAACTGAAACAGTAGAAAAGGCTCTCGAAATACAACTACCATTTCCAATACGAAGTACATAAAGGGCACAACCCAAGTGATAACACACACAATGAGGGACAATTTGGGTGGCCGATGGCATTGGTGCCAAATTGGGAAAAGCACAGATACACAACGGTCCACACTGATGCTTATGAGTAAAAGTTGACTAGTATTATACAACACAAAATAAAGAAGATTGAAAAAATAGTATGCTCTGGAATTAAATGGACTGTGAATTTGGAATATTTGAGTCAAGACCTCCATCATGAGGACTCCAGAATCTGCCACAGCCAAATTCAAGACATAGATGGAGAAAGAATTCCTTTTCATATGGAAACCAAGGATCCAGATGACTTTTCCATTCCCTAAAAATCCCAGAAAGCAGAGAATAAAAATGACAATATAAATGGTCATCTCAATAGAAATTGGAATATCTGGAATTTGGTCACTTTCAAAGTCAGTCCCATGTGGAATGTCATGGGTTTCATTGTTGAACTCTGAAGCAAATGATACGGTAGGTTCAAACTCTGCCATTCTGCTCAGCTCAATCTTCTTTCCTTCGGTGTTTAACTTTTTCTCCTTTTGTACATAAACACCTACAGATAGAGGCAAACAATAAATCCTAAATTATAATAAATTATGTTCAGATTTTTTTTACAGACAAAAAAGGAGGGTTTTTTTTCCCTTAAGACAAAGCTCTGAGGTTTTCCTTGTGGCAATGCAGAATTCATAAAAGAATAACCAGCCAATAAATAATGTCTACTAAATTAAATATATAGTCAGAACAAATAATAATTTCATATCTAGCAGGAGCCAGCTAGAGATCTGAAAGTCACACACATTTTAGAAAATAAATGCACATTTATCCTCTTTACTTGCAATCCATAGATTGTTGTACAACATTAACAAAGCTTAAAATATGTGAAACTGGATGAGTTCCATTTCTCATATTTTTTTTTCTGAATACAAGAGAGATCCCAAATTCTATCTGAAAGTCTTTCTGATAATCTGGGACAGCTTCAGATCAAGCTGTTCCCAAAATTTAGTGATAAACAATATTACTGAGTTTTGATGGAAAATGAGGCATGGTTGAGATAATGTTTTGAAATTCTCATCCCATCACAAAAAAAACCTATTAAAAAACCTATGCCTGAATCCATTAGTGTCAAAAGAGGCTCATGAAACAAAGAAAAAAAGAAAGGGAAAAATAATACACGTTTCAATTTATTTGCTAATATTTCAAGTAGTCTATTATTTCCTTGCACAAATCTANCCCTCCCCCTCCCCCCGCGGTTCTTATTTCTAGCTGGTACCAACATTAACTGGCAATATTCTGGAATAATGGGACCTAAGTCCTTCTCATTTGTAAAACTCATCAGGGTTTATCTGAAAGTGACTTTAGGGGTAGGTATGCATGGCTCAAGGGGTCAGAGGTTAAAATGCTGAGCTTGTTGATCAGAAAGGTCGGCAGTTCGAATTCCTAATGTTGTGTAATGGAGTGAGCTCCCATTATTTGTCCCACTTTCTGCCAACCTAGCAGTTTGAAAGCACATAAAAATGCAAGTAGAAAAATAGGGACCACCTTTAGTGGGAAGGTAACAGTATTCCATGCACCTTCGGCGTTTAGTCATGCCAGCCACATGACCACAGAGATGTCTTTGGACAGTGCTGGCTCTTTGGCTTTGAAATGGATGAGCACATAGCTTCGAATCATTTTCTTTGGCAGGCAAATGAAGAAGTTTAACTCATTTGTTTAATTGGGTTTTCTTTCTCTAGTTTTAGGACGTGGATAGCCAAAGAGTCTTGTTTTCGATTACATTTATTCAGAAATATTGAACATTCAAAATGGTTCACAAATTTTGAAAACCTCTGTGCATAACCCTATGTATTTCATCAAATGAACTCCCTAGTGTAGTATGGTGCATATGTAATCCTCAAATTACACTGGTAATTCAAGTAAAATTCTCAGAACTAAATAAAACACAACTTTCAGCCACCATGTTGCTTAATGATAGCAATACATATATTCACTGTGTTAAGTCAATCACCACAAGTCATCAAGTGAGGATTAGAAAACTATTAGATTAGTAGTATTTCTAATGTTAAAATAAATAATAAAAGTGATAGGGGGCATCCTTGTCTTAAGCCTTTCAAAATATTATATTTCTCTGTAACATCTCCATTTATTAGCAAGTTCGCTGTTTGAATCAAATAAATTGTTTCTATCATCTTCACAAATTTCTCTCCGAATTGCATGGTTTTTTTATTGTGTTATAATGAATTGCCAATTTAAGTGGTCAAAGGCCTTTTGGACATTCAAAAAAATCAATGCAACTTGTTTCCCTGGATGTGCTTCATAATATTCTAGTGTGTTCAGAATTATTCTCACATTGTTTTTCAAACGTGACCATGACTACTGACTTCCACCCTACTTATCCATTAGCTTTGCTTGTTGGAAGCTGGCAAAGAGCATTGGAAATCACAATCACATGACATTGCAATGGGCCAGAATTCTGAGGACGGGCTGTGAGTCTCAAAGTCCCAAATGACCTCATTGTTCTATATGTAGTCAGAAGACGGCTGAAAGGCACTAAGTCAAGAAGGTGATAAGTTTTATCCCAACAGAAAAGTATCTCTCCAAGATAGAAAATTGCAATTATGAATTAAGCTTTTTTTTTTTAAAAGGATATTTCTGGGATTTACCTTCTGTAAAGGTTCATTGAGGCAGCCTTTGCATAACATATTAGTGTAAGAAAATAACAGAATAAGAGAGTTGGAAGGGACCTTGGAGGTCTTCTAGTCCAACCACCTGTTCAAACAGGAGACTTTGTAACATTCCAGACAAGTGGCTTTCCAGTTTCTTTTTTTTTTNGCATTTTGGGCCTGGTGGGAAATGGAAGGACAATTTATCTCCTGGCCTTTTCCATTAAGAGGAATCCTTTCACCACTTTCATCCTGAATCTCTCCGTCGCTGATTTTGGAGTCCTCACATCCCTCGTTATGGCAGAAATATTTGTGACAGTGTTAACTCTGGGTAAAGTAAGTGACGTTGTCCAAACATTTTTCTTCTTATTTTTCGTGCTCTTTTCCTTCACCTATTCTGCCAGCCAGTTTCTGCTGACGGCTATCAGCCTAGACAGGTGCGTGGCTGTCCTCTTCCCTCTCTGGCATCGCTGCCATCGTCCTCCATATTTGCCCAGTCTTGTTTGTGGCCTCATCTGGATCTTCTCCTTCCTGCTCTCTACGGTGCACTTCATTCTGTATTACACCAAGAGTTCAGTTGTGCTTTACCAGCTGATTGTGAATGCTTTGCTTTGTACACCTCTTATGGTTGTATCCACTGTAACTCTCTTGGTTTATACGAGGTCTAAAATACAACACAATCAAAGGAAACTTCTCACCACCATCTTGCTGGCTCTCATCTTCTTCCTCCTACTTTCTCTCCCAATGAATGTCTTTTATGTCATTGAATATTTTGGTTTCTATAAGGCCATCCTCATGACAGTCGGGTATGGATGTGCTGTTCTCAACAGCAGCATCAACCCACTCCTTTATTTCTTTGTCGGGAGAATGAAGAAGGGAAAGGATCAGCCCAGAGCATCCTTTAAGGTGGCTCTGCAAAGAATTTTCAAGGATGAGCAGGAAAGCTCTGAAGAGCAGCAAACTACGGAGGAAAGCATATTGTGAAGTGTCACTATTGTTTTATAATCATTTTAAAACCCCTAAGTAATTTGTGGGTTCAGTAAGAAAATTGATGTGATTTACTGAAGAAGCTGAACGCAAAACCATACAAACAGGAAATATTTATCTGTAGATAATTCTCAAAGTGAATATGCTTGTATAGTACCGTAAATGTTTTACTTATATAATTCCTTTATTCTTACTGCATGAAATTTTCAAAATGTGTAACCTTTACCATTGTATTTTATTTTTATTTGTTAGGTATTTTTCAAGATTTCATGAAGTTGATAGAATATATGAATTCACGAATGAACTTGGTAAAATATATGAATTCACAAATGAGTTTAGTAGAATATATGAATTCATCAATGAATTTGGTAGAATATATGAATTCATGAACGAACTTGGTAGAATATATGAATTCACGAATGAACTTGGTAGAATCCATGGCTTCACTAAAAATTCTAAAACATGTAAATATATACATGTAAAAATGTATAAAGAAAGAAAAGACAAGGAGAAAAAAGATGTACAGAATTCATTTCCGGAAATAAAATGTGACAATTATAGGATTCTCACATATTTCAGGTGTAATATTCACTTATATTTAACAATAACAAATTATTATAGGTAATTTTCATTTGCTGGTTTTTTAAAACTATTTTTTAAAGATAAATAGCTTCTATCATTGTAAGCCTCCCTTCTTGTCATTTTTTTTATAGACATTTCAAGTTCTTATTTCTTTTTTTTTNCAGCATTGAGCCATGCTAGCCACATGATCACGGAGAAGTCTTCGCACAGCGCTGGTTCTTTGACTTTGAAATGGAGATGAGCACCGCCCCCTAGATTTGGGAACAACTAGCACATATGTGCGAGGGGAACCTTTACTTTTTTAAATATTGAGATTACAGGGACATAATCACAAATCAATCTCGTGTATGTAGGGTTCCCCACTGATTTACAACTGATCTACTAAGTTGTGGTTCATTTCAAGATAAATACAGGAGAACCTTTACTATGTTAACAGTATTCTTCTTTAAAAGACCTTTTAAGACCTAATCTTTAGAAGAGAGAGCCCAGGCCATAGAAAAAGAAAGAATAGAATAATTTGGCACCCAGTCTAATATAATAATTTTTAAAACCTTAGGTAATCTCAAAGAAGAGTTATGGTTACAGAATTTTCATGGGAAACGAGATAGGCTAGACGTAATATCTTGAATTTCTCATTCCATCAGAAGCAAGCTATAAAGATACATAACTCTGCCTGAATCCACTTGGATCAAATGGGAGGCTCACGAAAACAAACTTGGTGTGTGTGTGTGTTTTGCTAATATTCAAATAAAGAATTTGCTTCCTTGCACAAGACTAATACAGCAAACTTTAACAGCATTTCAGCAGTTGTTGTGATTCCAGGAGACATACGGTAATCACAAATCCCTCCCATGTTTATAGGTTTCCCCGCTGATTTCAAGGGATCTATTCTAAGGTTTAAACCAGTTCAAGATAAGCACAGAAATTCATTTAGTCTGTTAAGAAGTTTATTCTTTAAAAAATCCTTTAAGACCTAATCTTTAGAAGGGAGAGTCTTGGCCATTGAAAAAGAAAGAATAGAATAACTTGGTATCCAATCCATTATAATACTTTTTAAAACCTCCGATGAGTTCAAGAAAGGGCTACCATAGGCTATTTTCCAATTTTACCTAAATAAATGATCTGCACACATTCATACAGCAATGGCTTTGAATGTTATTCATAGGAACAAACAATAAACCAAAGACAGGAATTGATCATTCATTTTTCCAAGACAATAAGCTGCCCCTGGATGTATTGTTCCTCTCAGAGCTAACTTTGAC